ACGAATGGAGAGAAGGAAAGGTTGTATCTATTTGTCATGAAGGTGGTGTCGAAGCTTATACATTCACCATACTCTTTGTAATACTCGATTCAGCAACCGTCTGCCTAGAACAGGTTTCTGACTCTCCTTTCTTCATCCAGGTCTAGCTTGTAGAAGAAGGACGGATCTTCAGTCTGCCTCTTTCTAAAGTAATCCAGCACCTTTGTCATGTCTGAGGCCTTGATCTCAATGTTGATTTTTGTCCTGAAGTTACTGATGTCCTTCTTCTTCATCTGCAGGGTTGTGGGTCCTCCTCTGAGGTATGACAGTATGCTCACCATTTGTCTTGTCGGGATGTTGTTGTCATTTAGCGTCCTGATTAGCCCCTTCTCCATATCAATCATGTATTTGTGCCCTGAGAACAGTGTGTCCCGGTCTCTAGGTCGTAGTTCATGGTTGTGATCCAAATCTTGATGCATTATGAACCATGGACCTCCTACCCGTTCCTCCCTCAGTGTTATTGTACAAGGACACTCTGATTTTCCCTGGACACTGGTGTTCCTTTTGGCTGATGTCTTCTTTCCAATCTGCTTATCTACCTCTGCTTCTTCTTCTTCAGTGGACTTTTGTTGATGTGCTTTGCCTGAATGGGTGCATTTCAATTCTACTTTTATAATCTCGTTGTCTCTCTTCTTAGCTGTTGTCCTCATTGAATGTTTTACAGCAAATTTAAAGCCAGCCAGAAAAGCATAGAACCTGCAGAAGTGTTCGGCAGCTGCTCTACTCTCAAACTTCTATAGCGGCTGAGGTGTGTATGCGCTGTCATTGGGCCCATTATTTCCTTCTGATGCAGCAACCTGCTCTGCGATGATGAATTCATCAATCTCCTCTTCTGTCAGGAATTGGTTGTCATTGGAATTGTGTTCATCTTCTGTTGCAGTTGATGCAGCCTCTGTGGTTCTTGATATTGGTGCATTGATGCTGCTGAAGCCATTTTCTGACACTGTGAGTTCCTGTTCATGTAAATATGTTATTAGCAGTGTGTAGTTTTTCAGATCATTGGTGTTTTGCATTTGTAAACATTCACTGCGCACTGAAATAGGTGTAGAAAAGAATAATTATTTTTTCTGTTTACCTCATCAATGTGCATGTTGTTGAATATGTCAATTTGCCAATGATGATTTTGATTTTCAGGTATGTCCTGGAGAAAGCTTGGTATTTCTTCATCATAGTGACCACTAAAATCCTGTGTTGTACATAGATAAGTCAATTCTTCTTTGTTTGATGGCTGTAGTGCATTACTTGTATTCAAGCAATTTTGCTGATGCATGTGTGGCAAATTGTTGTGTTTGTGGACATGTACTAGGTATGCCATCCTTGAGTCTGATATTGATGAATCTGGTTGGGGTGCTAAGGTTTCTTCAAGAGCATTCATGTCATTTGCAATTAGCATGTCTGTTAACGATCCTTGTGTCGCTTCATGTACCTGTAATAATTATTTTAGAAATTGCACTTGTTCTAAGCTAAGATTACACAATCTAGCACTAGTAATTTTGCACATGTTTGTTTTGTAATTATGTACCTGCATGGTACCCCTTTCTGTGTGATCAATGTCTTCTTGTGAGCTCATAATTTGCTCAAGCATAAGCTCAGTCAAGCCACCCTGCATGGAAATAAATTTATGTTCTTTTAAGAACATGTATCTGTTCAGATTCTATCAATCTCAGCAATGATTTGCTCACCTTTTTGATTGTGTATGGGTTGAAAAGGTGACTTGAACTAGTTGTACCTCCAAATATCTGGAAAGGATCTGAGTGTGCTGTCATCATAGCTTCAGTGTTAATTGAGTTGGATAATGTTGCATAGTCATCGAATCTACTTGTTGTCATGTAAAGCCTGTTCTGCGTCATTCAAAAACTAGATGTGATTAATTGTTGTTTCTGCATTTGTAGCAGATCATGGAGAAAAGTACATAATTTTGCAAATTCATATTAGGAGATGCATTCTGTATACCATGTATCCAATTGAACAAATGGATGGCCATTGCCTTATGTGAAGAGAACTAGTACCTGGTTCATCTGAGCCATCTTCTCCAGTGCTTGTTGCCACTTGTTGATCCCTTCAACTATACTGAGATCATAGTTTTGTTGTGAGGTGTCCTCCATATTTTGAAATCTGTTTTTATCAAGAGCTGAGCTGAGCTGAGCAAGCAGAGATACTGACATATGTGTAATTCGATCTGTTGCAGAGACAGTTTTGCAGAGCACTGATTGCAAGGATCTAAGAACTGGAAGTAGCAGAGTACACTAAAACATGTGTCCAGTCTAGGAATTATCAAAGATTGTTCAAAAAGGTAATGTAACCACCATTCTACTCTTTTTATCTGCTGAATTGCAATCTAAAGAAGGAAAAATTGTTTGCACAGATTGATTTCAGACCATGACTTGTTTGATGATGCCATATTGCAGGGATCTAACTCAGCAGATGGATGGATGTCTATTGTACTGACCTTGATTGATGTTGAGGTGAGTCTTGCCTCCTTGGATCTTGAGATTTCCCACGTTCCCTCGTGCTTTGATCTGGTTTCTCCCCTTTTTGCCCTGCTGTGCGTGAGGAGAGTAGAGCTCCTCCTCACGAACAGATCGGTCGATCTGTTTCTGTGTGCGTTTGCTTCTCCACCAAGTTGGTGGGTGTTTTAATGGACTAAGTTGTTTCCTATCGGGCTGATGGGTTTGGGCTTTTTTTTGGCAGGTTTATAGGCTACAATAGCAAACAACTACAACCAGAACATACCTGCCCTATTTTTTTGACCTTTTTGACACAGATTTGTACTCAGATTACAACAAGTACAAGTACAATAGCCCACAAAATTCGTGTGTTTTCCTGCCTTAAAACACTCGGTTTTCCAACTGGGTATTTTTCGTGGGTTTCTCAACGGAAAAACACACGGTTTCCTTCTTTCTGTTGCCTTGCCTGTCTTTCCAGAATTGTGTGTGTTTTTTTTGCGTGAAACACTCGAATTTTTGCCGGGTCTTTTCCGTGTGTTTTCCGCGCAGGAAACACGTGTGTGTTCCCCCCCCCTGAAACACGCGAGTTTCAAGTAGACAAGCCCTTAAAATTTGATCAAATTTTGAATATAAATTGTACTGCTGCTGCTGACCCCTTACGAAAAGGGAGAGGGGGATCACATTTATGGATCCGCCTCCGAAGACATCCTCCAATCAGGCTGCTTTACCTTTAATGCGAGGCAATAGTACACATGCACCCACTAAGGGACCAAATTATACCTTTGATGTCCCGTATGTCTTATATTCTTATGTTTATTTCTTTGTTGTGATGGTAGGCGACGTGTCCCTCAATAGCGAGTCAGTAATAATTGTGCCTAGCTCAACTGGTTGGGGCGGTGATAATTAGTGTGATCATGCATCCCAACCATCTATAGGGTTAATCCTCTTTAACTCGAATATGGATAGAAAGCCTCATGTTATTGACTTCATCAATTTGAATATGATTGAGTTTTGTCAAAATCTAATTTGCTCTTCCAATAATATGTAGGCATCTTTCCAATCCGGCTATTTTCATACATAGGTTCAGATACTAATTTGCTCTTACAATAATGTGTAGGCATCTTTCCAATCCGGCTACTATTCAAGTGGTGCACACTGAATGTGGTCTCGATATATGTAGATATATGGTTGCCATCAGAAATTTAATTTGAACTCATATGCAGAACCTTCTTTTTAGTAAAGCTAGATCATTCATACTAATTTGTTTGGGTGTTTACTTGTTACAAGATTTCTTCAGTAATCGAGAAGATCTATCTATATCACATGTTGCAGGACTTGGAAGCTCAGAGAAGAAAGCAGCCATAGCACGTAAGAAAAGCTCCTCCGATGATGATAACCATATGACTTTCTACTCAAAATTCTTGTTTTGTTTATATTTTTGAATGACTCTACACAAGTTCAAATAAAGTGTAACTCTATTTTCTTTACCCTACATAAATTCTGCAGGCCTGCCATATAGCTCTGTTGTGATGAAATTAAAGAAGGGCAACGTAGGTTGCATATTTGAGAGACTATCTCCAGATCTTGTTTCCTTGATCCAATTTCCACCTCCAACCCACCCTGCCTCATCTTACCGTTGCTATCTGCACTGTGCTATTTGCCTAGCTATACGACAAGCTTTTGTACCGACTATCCATCGGCACCTTTTATTTCACACCTCCTCCAGCGAATTTCTTTACTAGCCCTACATTGTTATTGTCTCTACTTGGATCCTCCACCACCCCTGCCCTCTCGCTAACCTTTTTCTTTCTTTACACCCCTTGCACCAACCCTACCGCTGCGAGCCCCACCATTGCCACGTGGCGCCATGCACGGCCACTCTAGCTGCTGCCCATGGCCTTCACTCCTAGCTATCCTCACAGCCCTAAACCATAATCCCCGAATACCATCACTCTATCCATGCCATAGCTACAACCTTGTCAGAGTTAGAAAAGAAAGGGAAGAGATGGGGAGAAAAGAGCCAAGTGTGAAAAAAAACTGAGTATATTTTTGCCTTTCCCTAAAACAAGATAGAGTTCACATTACTGAAGGATTATTGTAATGCCACCAAGAAATCTACAGGAAATCGTTGTGTGGTTTTCTTTTTTATTTATTTTTTCAATTTTGCATTTCTATATATTTATGTCGAGTCTAAGTTGTTCATAAAGGTGGAAAATTCAATTATTATAATTCATCACTTTAAAACTTTTAGAGTTTCTCTTAAGTTACTGATAATAAGAAACTACAAATGACAAGTTATATCACATTCTTATGGTATCTCTACTATCAAATGTTCTTGCAGATATAGTATCAGCTGTCACAGGTTCCATTTTCTTACTGCTTCTGCTCCTTTCAATGTGTGCTTTGTACCGTAAGAAATTTTACGGCGCGGTGTCCTAGAAATGGGAACCAAAACACATTCCAACCATTATTGAACCATTGCCGAAGAGATATACTTATTCAAAAGTGAAGACAATGACCAAATCATTCGCCCACAAGCTGGGCAAAGGTGGCTTCGGTACCGTTTACATGGGTAACCTGCCAAATGGGCGTGACATAGCAGTCAAGCTTCTCAACAGTTCTAACGATGATGGGCAGGAGTTCATGAATGAGGTAGCAACTATTACACGAATTTCTCATGTTAATGTTGTGACATTGCTAGGGTATTGTCTCCAAGGTACAAAAAGAGCTTTGATCTATGAATACATGCCTAATGGTTCACTTGAAAGATTTTCTTTTGGACAAGACTCAGAAGGGAAAATCTCACTAAGTTGGAAAAAATTGTTTGAAATCATGGTTGGCATTGCTCGTGGACTTGAATATCTTCATCGTGGGTGTAGCAATCATATCGTGCATTTTGATATTAAGCCCCATAATATCTTACTGGACAAAGATTTCTGTCCAAAGATCTCTGATTTTGGATTGGCAAAGTTGTGTATGAAAAAAGACAGCATCGTCTCAATTGATGGTGCAAGGGGAACCATCGGCTATATCGCCCCAGAGATCTTCTCAAAGCAATTTGGAAAAATAAGTAGCAAGTCTGATGTGTATAGTTATGGGATGATGATTCTTGAGATGGTTGGTGCACGGAATAATATAAATAACTGTTCAGAGACCAGCAGTAAATATTTTCCTCAATGGGTTTATGAACATTTGGAGGAATATTGTGATGATGCAGGTGAAGTTGGTACTGCTGATTGTGCTGATAACGAGCTTGTCAGAAAGCTGATAACAGTCGGATTGTGGTGCATACAATTGCAACCCGAGAACCGGCCTTCCATGACTAGGGTGATTGAAATGTTAGAAAGCAGACCAAATGACCTGCAGATCCCACCACAAAATCTCTTGTGTTGAAAGCTATGGTTATAGTTTGCAGTGTTTCAGTACCATGTGTATAGCTAATAACACTGTGCTAAAACTAAGGTTGCCTGTACAAATAATATTGCAGCTACAACCGCTTAAAATCATAAGTATGTTTATTAAACTTTGCAGGTGATGTTATCACTAGTAAAGAAAGCATATCAGATGTGGTCCTTTTCCATTGACGAGGTGGGCAGACCGCTTTGTAAATCGCATTATCAGAGGTGGCCGACCTAAGATTAATTGCCGCTTCTATTAATAATTTTTCAAAATTTCAAAATTGTTCGCTCTTAATTTTAAATTCATTATTTACTAGTATTTGTAACACTGATTTAGTTTCTTCCAATCCTTTTTTTTTCTTTACCCTAGCACTTCCAACCCCTCCTATTTGGCGCCTCTCTCGACGAGATTCGGTTGCGTTCTAGGTGGGCATGCCGATTCTAGGACAACCTCGACGTGCCTATCCCCGACGAGTCTTACAGGGAGGTGTTCTCAAGATTTTTCGGGTGAAGAACATGCATCAAATCGGTTCTATTAACCTGCTGGTTGCTTTGTTGATCTCTGGTGTCCTCGCTGCGTGATAGGCTGTGTGCAGCCTCGGGCGTCCTTGTTGGCGTGTGAACCGAATTGGCGTCAACACCCTATCCATACAACACAACACACTCGTTACTCCTAGTTAGGACCATACTTTGGCTTGCACCAAAGGTCCATTAACTCATACAGATGTTTTAGTTAGGTCCATCAACTCCGAAAGTTGATTTCTGTGTCTATCAAACTTTGTACTCTAGTGGTTTACCAATGGTCCAGACCCCTTCGTTTGACCCTTAGATCTGACGTGGCATGTGGAGTAAAACACCCGCATGCTATGAAATTTTCAATTAGCCCCTCCTTCCCTTCTCGTTCCTTGCTCCGTCCCAGAGCGTGCATAGACATGCCCCTGAATCTGTGTGCATGGGGACGAGGGGACCACGGAAGACTCAACTGCACATTGTTGAAGCAGTGATGGACTACATTGATGGGAATGGCAGCACACACAAGCTCAAAGTTTGACCATGGTAGTTGCAATAATTACAATGAGTTGGGAGCTCTGATTCGGTTTCTATGTGTTGAACGAGCGCAAAGGGTAGATGTCATTTCTAGGACAGAGGTGAAGCACAAAGCAAGGACAATGTGATACTAGGAGTTCTATGGCTAATAATGGTGGTGGTGGCGAGCACCGGAGCAGAGATAGAGCAGAGGCACAAATGCCAGGATTGAGGGAGAGGAAAGGAGGGTAGCATGGTCGGGGCATAAGCATGAGCTCGTCAAATTTCATGTGCTGGTTGTTGACTCCATTTGCCACGTCAAATCTAAGGGTCAAACGAAGGGTATGAACCTGCGATGAACCATTAAAAAGTTTATGGACTTGGAAGTTCTATCTAAGGACCAAACAAAGGGGTATCGACTTGCAGTGAACCACTTAAAAGTTTATGGACTCAGAAATCAACTTTTAGAGTTGATGGACTTAATTGAATGGACACATTTAGCTCATAATATAAATAAACAACCTAAGAAGGTCATCTTTACGTCTACCTTGAGCTCAACATATATAATCCTTTGTAGAAGTAAGGAAAACTGTGAGGATACAACCACCCTGATTGATTTGAGTGACATCTCAAGTAACTTGATATTTATGCAGAACCTCTAAGAAATTATAAGCCGTACTTTTTCAGCCAACGAATAATATTTTTTTCTCACAACAAATCAGTCAACAGTACTTTCAGTCATGGCTTATCAGCCAAGCGAACAGGGCTTAAAAGGGCAAGTCAGGGAAACCTTTGTCAAAACTATTTTGTCTTTCTAAAAATGAAAGCCCCATGTGTAAAGATAAGTATATTACATTGGTGTAAAGATAAATATATTATGGTTTAGCTATATATGGCCCATACTTATCAAGATTAATCCCACTCAAATAAGCCATTACTTCCCTATATGCTATGGCATGTGTCAATGACATGTAGGTCTGCAGCGGCATTCAACGTCATCTCGAGGAAGGTGGAGGCCGAGTTGAGGATTCAAGTTTTCGGTGCCCACGACGGAGGAAGGCTATAAGGAGGAGGGCGTTGGCGCGGCGATTGGAGGGCCTTGCATCTGCTTGACAGTGGAGGGCCTTGCATCTGCTTGACAGTGGAGGGCCTTCCATCTGCTTGACAGTGGAGGGCGATGGTTTGATGGGATCATACGCCAGTTGCGACCACGAATTTGGCGAGGACCCCGGCGTGGGAGGCGCCCACAGAGTTGGCGTGGTGAGGCCGACGTGGGAGGTGGTGGCCAGTAGATTTGCGTTGCCGAGGTGACCTGCATGGTGTGGCGGCGGGTAGTCCTGCTCAGTGGCGGCTGTTTTCAGCGCGAGGAGACGCTCTGATTGGCAACTAGAGGACGTGTGTGTCATTTCTACCATCGATGAGGCAGCTAGGTCCTGAAAGCTACGGTGTGCGTGCTGGTATCGGTGGACGGGTCAGCTTGGCGAGCACCAGAGGTAGCTATGGCTTCTAGCGGAATGCGGCGTTTAGCCCTACTCGTCGGCAGGCTACCTCAGTGTGGGACAGCATCGACAACGACGGCGCAAGCAGTGACGATGGCGTTTTCGTCCGGAGGACTCTGCCATCTGGTTGTGGGCGGTGCAGTGTGGTGGCTGGTTCGTGGTGGTTTGGAGGCGGCCGAGCGTGTGTTCTGTGTTGAGCTTCGGCCTGTGTTGCTCATGTCAATGTCCCATTCCGACCGGCCAGAGTTGCTTTTCTTCTTTTCTGGAGTTTGAGTTCGGTGAGTGTTGATGGCCCAATCCAACCGACCGTAGTTGTACTATTTTTTTGTATTTGCCTAGTCTAGGCTTCATTTGCTTTTTAATATAATTGGCAGCTCTCCTGCCTTATTTGTTTAAAAAAAAGACATGTAGGTCCTAGACCCACCTGTTGTTGATGCCACGTATATACAAGGAATACAGGGATTATTCAATGGCACATGAGGAATTGCCCTGCTTATCTTAAAGTACTTAAATATGTCTCTTAAAAACGCTAGCCTAGGTTATGCAGGAATCCGATGTTATCTTCTCTTCTATCTATCTACACCTCAAAAAGGGCCCACAGGAATCGTCCAACGCAGAACCAAAAGTCTCCTGTAAAAAAACTGATCCGACCAGGTAAAAGAAATGGAAAAAAAGATTAAAAAAACAAAAAAACAGACTATCTAACGCCATAACAACAAAAATCTCCAATATCTCCGGTAAAAAAAGAAACAACTGGTAAAACAAAAATCATCGGATACTACTCTGGGGAACGCTTTAAAAGATCGAACAACTCGATGGAAAAAATCAAATGAAGAAAAAAATAAAGAAATAAAAATTAAAAATTAAGGATATTATTGACATCTTATTTATGGTTTTCGATAAATAGGATAAGCTATTTTTTTAGCGTCACCCGGAGAGAAAATCCCATCTGAATAAGATGTACCAAACGTTTTTCTAAAACAGCGTCAGATCCACCAATGGAGCTGCACTACCAACCACCAGCTAAACGAAAGGAAACCTCCACACCAGTGAAGCCGAGATGTACCAAAGACATTAGCTTGTGAACACTGTACACCAAGTTGGCATGAAGAATCGACTTGGATACTGAAAGGGCCAGATCAAGCTTGGTTTAATTGCTAGTCTAGAGTTCGGACCTTATAGCTGCAACGGATATCCTCCTCGGCTCCTCCTGCTGTCATTGAGGAAAAAAGCGCTGACCCTCAATCGCCTATGTCCGATATGAATCATTCTCCGCTCAGAGCATATGCGTCTGCATCCTATCTGGTTTCACTACGAAAACAAAATCCACGTATCCGTGTCCGATATGTTTTTTATAGTTTTTTTGTAAATCCATCATCATTTTAACAAAAAAAAATGCAGGGCCCAGTGCAACGCACTGGCATTTATCTAGTATTTATTGAATATTTGACAATATACATAGTTATCAACTCACAAGAGCACAGTAGGTCAGTTGATTACTATATCCAATTACATTGTGATGTAATATAGGCCCTTCACTCCTAGAAATATCCACTTGTATGATGAAAATCTTAATGACGAATCCCAAACCGTCATAGAAGATTGTTTTTTATGACGAAAATTTTTGTTTCGTCATAGATCAGTGGTGACGATCCTCCAACCCTCTCTATCTATGATGAAATCGGGCATAGTCACAAAAAACGTCATAGAAGAGCACATTGTTTCATTACAGCTCACTTGCGCGACTCATCTGTGATGATCTCCTTTAATATTGTGATGAACATGGCTTCGTCATTGAACTAATTATACATCTATGACGAACAATATTCGATCTGTAACGAATGGCACTTCGTCATAGATCTCCACATGGTACTTTCTCCATCCGACGTGTACCTGTGGGACCTGCAGTTACTCATCCGTGACGCTTACAATTCGTCATAAAAGTCTTCGCTCGATCCGTTCTCTATGCAACGTGTACCTATGGGACCCTTCTTCATTTGACGTGTACTTGTGGGACCTACAGTTACTCATCCATGACGCTTGCAATTCGCTATAAAAGTCTCTGCTTGGTCCTTTCTCTATCCGACGTGTACCTACGGGACCTTTCAGGTTCCGACCTGTGGGACCTGATGGCTTACGTGTCACGTGTACCTGTGGGACCCAACGGCTTGCGTGTCATGTGTACCTGTAAGACCATCCAACCTGTGGGACCCGATGGCTCACATGTCACGTGTACCTATGGGATCTTTCTCCATCTCCATTCGACCTATGGGACCCGACGGCTTGCGTGACACTTGTACCTTTTGTGCCACCGGGGTCTAATAAATTAAAAAAAAACTCAATGCCTGGGAGTCTAACCTAGGACCTAGAGGAAGGAATGCACGGTCTTTACCATTGCGCTAGATGGCTGGTTGTATTAACATGTCTTTGGAGTCATTATAGTATTATATTCTCTGTGTGAATGCCCTAT